TCCCTCCTCTCTCAGTGCCCGCAATTCAACTCTCGGCTGCGTGCACAGAGACTCTTGTGCTTAGCCTGAAACCTAATCGCACTGGCCACACGGAGGATGGACTGCTGGGGTCTCCATTTCACTTCTTTAACCCAGCACAATCCCCAATCCCTCCCCCTTTCCTTTCCGTTCCCCAAGGGACTCTATTATACCCCCCGATCTGTTCACACTCCTTATCCCTCTGCGTGTTTGCACACACTGCTGACCCAGCCTTTATCTGGAAGACATAAGGGTCTCTGTGTGGAGTTCCCACAAGGGCTATTAATCGTGTAGATGTCAGAGTCCCCCGGCTCCAAACCCTCCCTTCCTGCTCCTCCCCTCTTCTTCCCTCCTCCCGCCCTTTTTGTGCTCTCTGGAGATCGAGGAAAAAAAAGTTTTATGAAAATTCACACACAGAACTTGCAAACTTTGCAAAACATGATCTGCTCCCCTGGGCAAGGTTGGTAAATGGTGCAATTTCTCCTAAAACACCAAATACAAACATACACACACGCTGCTTCCTCTTCACCAAATGGAGGAATTTCCTCAAACAGAAAACAGAGAGCTAAATGCCTTGCCAAGTTAGGGAAAGTTTGGCTCCTGGTCCCAACCTGGATGGAAACCCTCCAGCTGGTACCTCTGTAATGGGCCAAATCCAAATGGCATATCTGCAAATCCATGGGAACGTGGGAATCTGCAGAACTGGATTTAAGTCTCAGATCCTTGTGGATGCGGCTCCAGAGAAGAAGCGCATCCATGTTACCACCTTTCAACAACCTCATCCCTGGCACTACCATCTCTTTCCCCGAGGTAAACAAGAAGCTGTGCCACCAGGCTGACTTGCCACGCACTGGTTCTAGTCCTTACCTGAACTCGGGCCTCGGTGAGCTTGGTTCTCTGAGCTAGCTCCTCTCGTGTGTAGATGTCTGGGTAGTGGGTTCTCTCGAAGGCTTTCTCCAGCTCCTCCAGCTGCTCAGCGGTGAAAGTGGTTCGACTGCGGCGTTGCTTGCGCTTCAAAGGCAGGTCTGGTTCGGATTCGACGTCAGAACCTTCGTCCAGCCTGTTACCTAGGGTGGTAAAGAAGTGGGAGATGAGGCTTGCGTGGTTAAAAGCCATAGGGAGAAAGGCTGTTGGAAGAGTTAAGCAGCCCAGCAAAGTCATCTCAAATCTACTGTGGTGGTGTCCATCGAAACAAATACTCTGTCCATGTAATACATCCACCAGTTTTCTACTATTTCTGTAGTTTCCTGATAATTTTTTTCCCCGCATTGTAAAAAGCTCACCTATCAAAATCAGAACTGTTTGCAGGAAAGGGATGTTCAAAGTCCACTACTGAAATTGTTACAGTGAAAGACCTTCCAGTTGTTGAGTTATTTCAAGAAATTTCCATTTTTTATTAGAAATTACTGTGTTTCAGAGCTGCACATTTTACATTGAAAAGATGTAGAAGCTGAAATGACTGCATAAAAAAATTCAATACACGATGCTTTGACTTGTGCAGCCTAATTTGCTCTTGTGTTTTGACAAGTATCAGTGTTTGAGATTTCAATTCTTTTAAACCACTTCAGGAAGAAGAAAAGAAATATTAGGAATTTTTACAGCTGGGAAAAACCTTTCCGACTCTGCTTCACCTCTGGGTTGGGCTGCCCACAGGATACA